AACTCTTCCAAGTGGGCCTCGGTGACGAAGAGATTCAAAATCAGACTCAACTAAGCGCCGCTCGCTCACATATTCCGTGGCGGAACTCAACTGTGTTCTCTGTGACCATAGGACTGTGCCCCCGGGAGCCACGACTACTCTCACCAAGCCGCTACCAACTGGAGCATTAGAAGCCGGTTCAAGCGAAGATAAACACAGATAGTAATTAGTAGGAGGATTTGATATTGATATCACCGAGGCCCACTTGGAACAGTTGGTATGATGTCAGCTTAACAACCTAACTGTCAGGGTTTCAATTCTCGGTAGTGGATTCGCACTGCTGATGAGTCCCAAATATAGGACGAAACGGCCGTCCAGTGCTTCCTGCATTCTGTATAGGTTTCTATCAGACGCGATGAATTAATTAAATATCATTATCAAATCCTCCTACTAATTGCTATATATATATATATATATATATATATATATATATATATATATATACACACTGATGAATTTTACACAACGGGTTTAATTCTTTACTTATCTCTTTGCTAAATCCGTTTTTCAGCTAGAACAATAATTAAACTTTCTTTTTTATTTTACACTCAGTCTCGACATAAGTATCGTTTCCCGGTATATCTATATATTTTCTTTGCCACGATATTTTTCAACCTCCTATATTTTTTTAATTTCTTACCTTAGATAAATTTACTGCTACGAATTACAGCTGCAGTTAACACATTGACACTGAGATTTCGCTTACCTGCCAAACTGATTCGGAATCCGCTGGCACACAATGACATGCATTTCATTGCGGCCTTCGCAGAAATGACCGATTGTAACCGGCGTGAAAGTGGCTAACAGGAAACAGCTGTGCACATCCATTTCGACTATAGGCTGATCCTCTATTTTTGGGACCGTGTCGACGAGTTAACAGTGCGTATCAATCCCGAAAGTCTTGTGTCCACGGATATCACGTACTTGTTCGTCAATATGTTGCCCAGGTTAAAACGGCTGGTATTTCTCACGTTGTCTGCCGAGCCAAGAACTTTGGTATGGTTGATGCGAATAGCGGGTATCTTACGAAACATCCACTCTCTTCTTTGGTTATGGTTGCATTTTGGGGATTCAGCTCAGGATGAAGATCAGATTTTCGGTAGAATTTAGCAAAAAATGGAGGAGAGTTTGAAGCCTGGTTCGCGTGAATCGGGCAAACTGGATTAACTTTTTTAATCTCTTAAAAAAATCACAACACTACCTATTCCTGTAGGAAACCACCTCTGATTAAGCCAGTTCGTTTATGTTCACCTTATTTACCTGAGAGACTGCCACTCCGCTACCTCTCTTCATCATTGTTATGGATATTATCAAGATTTCTAATGGCCCCAGTTGTTTTTATAATGTAGATTAAACTGAAATTATATATTGCCCATTCACAAATTGATTTTTCCCTCCCTTCGGACTAGTGATAGATTTTCTGGATTCTGCTTGGCGGCAGAATACAGCACCCCGCTGTATTATTTTTTGTGGCTTGGAATGGTTAAACTAAGAGTTTTATTTTAGTCTGAATGTTTTGATTTGCTTTTATTTTGTTAGTGGTTTCATCCGCACTTCATTTCATAATCATTTTTTATACATTTTTTAAAATAAAATTAAAAAAAGGAAAAAATACATTTGTACATTAATTACATTTTCAAACAACGTGGCAGTTTTGTAGGACTCCGAAAATATTTTGTATTGTGCCATACTTTGGTTTGGGTGAAGATGGATGGATGCTTGTAGTGATTGTGGAAAATGTTAGAGTGAATGGCTTGCTATTCAGTTTCGATACTTATTGGCTTAAACCGTGGAGACCAGCATCTCTACACTTCCCATTCGGCCTTGTACTACAATAGCCTGTATTTCTATGTTTAAATAAACATTTCCACTATTGAGTGAGCTTCGTGATTCTGGTTATAGTCAGATTACAGCTTTCGCTCTTCTTTTTGTGGGTTGGTCGGGCACTACTAACAAATTATTATTTTTATTTGAATATTTTCATATTTTCTTTCATTTCATGTGTAAATTTTTATATATTTTTAAAATAAAATTGCAGTTAAAAAGGAAGAAATATAAAAAAACATTTCTACATATAAAGAAATCTTTATCAAATGGGCGCTTTATTAGGACTCCTTCGAAGATGTGCTGTTGTGGGTTTATCTTGGATTGGATAGAGAAGGATATGTTCTTGTGGTGATTGTTAGAATGAAGGGACCGGGTGTTTGATAAGCTAGGTGTAGGGCAAACAATGTAGACCAAACTTTTCTCCTTTGACCTTGTGACAGAAATTAACGTATAAAAACGTAAATTAATTAAAAGATACAGCTACGATTTTTATACGTGCACTTCAATAAGGTAAGTCTTAAAGAAGCCAAATTATTTATTAGTATACAGGCAAACATATTGTCTTACATTTTTTTTTTAAATAGGTGGTGACATTTTACGTTAAATCTGTCATCCTGTATGGCAGCAAATCCTGGACAGTATCCTTAAAATTAATGAACGAAATGAGGTTCTATAGAACGATGCTGAGAATTCTATTTACCGAATAGGTGACAAACAACAAGGTTTTGAATTAAATAGAAACAAAAGAAACTTATACTTAACACCAGGAAGGAGAAGTTTAAATTTATGGCGCATGTAATAAAGAAGAGAATTTGGAAAACCTGATACGGGGCAGTTTGCGAGAGAGAGCTACAGATGAAAGCAGCACGTAAAATACTTGATAAGTAAATGGATAGTAGAACAAGTTTTGGAAGAAATAACAAAAACACAAATATTTTAATCGCTACAAGGGACAATAATGTATGGAGGGCAATGATCGCCTACGTCATGAATGGAAACGACATATAAAAGAAGAAAAAATCTGGAATGAAATGTATATATATTTTTTATAATATAGATAACTTAGTTCAAAGCTAAAGTCACTTTCATGTTAGAAGGTAACTGAATAAGCGGTGTGATATGAATATAAGAGATAATACAAATAAATCAATTATGACGACAAAGAAGATATATAGCCGTTGATCCTTGATTAGAAGCGATTAACATTGTATTGTTTAAGTAAATATCCAGATATAACGTCATTACACAAAGCGTTTTTTTTTTGTTTTGTTTTTTTTTAATATCTGTTTAAGTAGAAAATTTTCCTTACACATGGAATTCAGAAAAAATGGGATTGTTTGATTCTTCTCCAAAAGCATATAAAAAAAGACCTAGCTAGAAGGTCCTTAACATGTGACACAGTAGAGTGGAGCTCATATGAACATTTGCCATGGAAATAATTATATATGAAAAGGCTTACAACGCTGCATCTAGATCTAAAGATGCCGCGGAGTGAAAAATAATTAATACTTACAAAACACAGGCTATCAAGTTTGGAATGACGAGAAACAACATGAGACATGTTCTTTCTCAAATTATTGAAATCATCACAAATGCTGGTTTAGTTTTTATATAGGGTATATATTAATGTATATTACATTGAAACGGTTTATGAAAAATAATATTTTTTTTTTACTAAAGATTATATATCGCACGTAGCAGACAATTCCGAAGACACCAACGTGAAATACAAAACAAAAATAAAGACACCAACATCATATTATCTTCTTCTATGTGCCATAATATGATAAGATTTTTATAGTACTTACTGATACACCTATTTCAACAGCATCATGATAATTATCTGTCAATCTAGTCTTCTTTGGGCCGTGACCAGTCAGAATTTAGGCGTCCATGTCTCTTCAAAATTTCCTCTCCTTGTAGATCTTAATAAATTTGCTCTTTTTGATATAGATCCTAAAACGTTATCCGTCAGCCATTTACTAAAGCTCACATGTTAAACGCTGTTTTCCTCTGTCCCGGATGTTTTAGTCTGTCCTCTTAGTATCCGATTTCGCAATGTCTCTTTCGTCATTATTTGCCTTAGAAATGCCAGTTGTCTCTACCTGATATTAAATATAAATTTCCGTTTGGTTTCTCTTTCTCTCTAAAACTTCATCGTTGCCTTCATGTTGAGTCAATGGCAGCCTCAGCGTCTTTCGGTAGAACCGCGTTTCTGCTACCTAATTTTTTTCTTTTCAACTGTGAAGAGGATTTCTAGCATTTTATTTTCGGTTTCATAATATTCAGCTTCGCTTTTAGAATGCAACTTTGGCTATCGAAAATCGCCTTCGGATACTAGTATATCACTATTCAAACTGTTAAAACACTTCTCAGATATGTATATGTCTGTCCTTGCTTGATTGTAGTATTATCAATTTGAAATTTGAACGCTGAGTATTACCTTAGCTAACAACTACGTTAGCAGACTTCTTACAGTTGATGTTTAGTCTTTTCTTTTTGCTTTCTTTCCATAGAATCTGTCGGATTTCTTTTAGTTTCCTTGCAGTATACTTTATGAAGACTACAAAGCTATATTTTATAGTGGAGCTGTAAGAATCGAACTCGAGTTACAATAGTCCGTTAGATTATGTTTTTAAGTATTAACCATGGTGTTGCACAGATAGCGAGGTTCATCTTTTTCTTGGAATCTATTAAATAAATGAGAGAGAAACGTGAGCCCGAACCCTAACCCTTCCTTGCATCACTAATTCCGTGAAGATAAAGCGATTCTCTTTATTTACTCTTATTTTCTCTTCTTTTTTCCGTTTCTATCGAAATGCTCAGCAATAAATCGGACTGAATAATCGAAATTCCCCATCAAAATAAATACGAATTAGAAGCAAAAAACGAATTAAACAAAAGATGAATTAAGAGAAAAATATAATGCACTAATAGCAAGTTGTAGGAAATAAGTTGCTAAAAATTACAAATGATTTCAAAAATATTTCCAGGAGAAATAGAAACCAAAACAAACTGGAAAACAATAAAACGAAATAGTTATTCAAATTTGATTTACAGTTCTGGAAATTACAAAAGCCAATGTAAAAATATTTGGAAAAACTGTGCCAGGAATATTGAACGGAAGGAAAATGTTAACTGGACAAAGCGAAACGAGAATAGAAACGAAGAATTAATATTAAAATGAAGCACAAATGAAAGAAAGAAATGAAGCGAATCAGATAATTAAATAAATAAAGCAGTTGAGGAAAAGAGAAGAGAAATGAAGATAGAAAGATAATATAAGGAAAGAGAAAAAAAATCGTAAATAATAAAGCTACAATTGAATTAGAAAAGACAACCTCCGAAAAGATTCTAAGCCAGAAAAAGAGGCTAATAAAACAAAGAGAGAAGGTGTGTGAGGGAGATAGAGAGAAAGGACAGTTTCAGATAAACAAAACGTAAGCCCACCAGGGACGAAAATACAAAAAGAAGGCAAATACAAAAATAAAAGTTGAATGAAACCAAGAAGAAAATATATATAGTCCCAAAAGAAAATGTAATAAAGACAGAGAAAAGAAGAAAGAATGAACAGGTGAACAAATTCAGGGTTAGTAAAAAAGAAAGAAAATTGAAACGATAAAAAGAAATGCATTTAACAAACACGGCGACCGCCAACGTCAAACGAAATTGAGAATTATATCATTAAGAATAAAAACTGGAAATGAATGAATAAAATCAAGAAAAGAAATAATACTCAAAAAGAACAAGAAGGAAGAACATCCCGAGAAGGAAGAGGCTTGGTAATAAAATATTTCGTAAAAGTCCGTGGTGTGAATATTGCATTAGCTCACAGATTGTTTAAGAGTTCGCGTCGAGCGGAAGTAACTATACATATGCAAATAATCTATGATGTTGGAAATAAATTTTTCAATCTCCCATTATCTTTATTGTCGCTAAATTTCCTTTCTTTCTTACTGATTAAATTCAAACTTCCGCGTCGATTAAACTACGGAATTAAAATATTATCTTTTCAATTTCAGTATATGGTAATTCCCTTTTGGTACCTAATAACGACAAGTTTTTCTAATACAACATCCTGCTCGCCGTTCTTTTAGAATTTAATATTGTTAGTGTTCGAAATATTCTTCTTCTTCCACTGTTATTCGATATTTCTAATAGTTTAGCTGCTGATTACAGAAATATTTGATAAACTCAACTGAGAGCAATTTCACTAAAATACTAAATTTTAAACTCATTTGCACTGTCCATATATTCATTAAACTTAATTGATTAGATTTCGGAATCTACTGTAGAGTTTCAATCCGAGTTAAGATTCATTTTGTAAACCGATGAGTATATCTAATATTTTTGGCCAGGATTGAATGATCTAATAAACATTTTTATATCTTGTTTTTAATTTGAATTCAGCTGAAAGAGTATGTTTTGACTATAATATCATAATCGTTATTTATATGAGAGGTTTTCGTTATTTGCAATTTTTCAAATCTTAGTTTATCCATATTCGCCTATATAGCAGTGAGTACTGGACGATTTCCTCAAAGATGAAGAAAAAGACTTGAACAACAGAATTGTTTTTCTGCAGAAGAAGGCTGAGGATACAAACGATCAAACGTGTGAGCAACGACGAGGTTTTAGAGAAAATGGAAACAACAAAAAAAGAAACTTATAATTAACATCAGGAAGAGAGTTGAAATTTCTTAGCTACATATTGAGGAAGAAAAGCTTGGAAACACCGTTACACACATGTCAGTCTGAAGGCAAGAGCGACAGAGGAAATATACTGAGTACAAAATAACAATAACTAGTTTCAACCACTCTCTTCAAATTTGGAGGACTAAGGAAAAAAAAAACGAAAGAAATTCGCGAGCCTATGTGAAATTTTCTTTGTATTAATAAGAAATACCTTCAAACTGCCTTCAAAGAGACTGGCCGGCGAGTTGAGAAAAAGACGGATATAAATTTGAAAACTCATATTTTATTGCTTTGGGACTAATAGAAATCTGTTCTCCACAGGAATTGGCCGCATGAAAAAAAGAAAATAATGTAGTGAGACTATGCAAAATTCATTTTCATATAATATGAGTTAAAATAAAAAGAGGAGAATGTCTCAAATTATGTGAAACGTTTCGTTTCAGTTCCTGACGATCATCGCTTAACGACCAACGTTTATGATTTCGCCAGTGTAAAACTATTCGCCACTTATATTATAGGCCGTCTAACCAACCAAAGCGGCACATCAAATAATTTTCTTTTAACAAACCAAGAAAGCTAAGTATTTCAAACTCTCTTCGTCTACTTTTAAATGTATGCAACCGTTATATCACTCTCAAGTTTGTTTTAAACATTGTTTAATATTATTTTTGTCAGATCATTTAATCTGTTGTATGAACATTTCCTCTTCATTCAATTCGTTAAATCTACGGACTTTATTCGTGAATCAGTTCCTTATCTTATTTCGTTAAAATTAACCGTGTCTTTCCTTGTCATTATCATCTGTTAATCTTCTTCGCCTGAGCAAATTTCAACCCCCGAATCTCCACGCTACAATAGAAAACAGATATTAACATACAGGATGAGCTTAAATAAATGGATGACAGAGCAGGTTTTAGGAGAAATAATGAAAATATAAAATTTATTAAGAGGTACAAAAAAGGCATGAAATTGTGGATAGCGGATAGCGTGATTATCTTCAACCTGAGTCTACACGGCAGATAAAGATAATGTTTTGTTAAAGATAAGAGAGCTTATATATATATGATTCTATGATTTTCGTAGTATTGTAGCATATTGAATAAAATACCATCAGAATTTCGCCGCTTCAATGGATTTTCTGTTCACATTTTTTCATCGAGATAAATTGATGATCGCAAATAACGTTAAGTACAAATATAAATTCTATCTTCATTTTTTGTATACCTCAATGAGGTTTGACTGTTTTCCCAAGGTCTTAACGCTTTTTCAGTATTAATCTGTGCTGATGGAACAGTGGGATTTTATGAATCATACCTCTGGAATCTTCCTAGTTCGTAAAATAAGGACTTCCGAATCCGGGCTAGGCTCTCCTGGTTAAGTTCAAATAAGTGAAAAACTATGAAAGAAAAGAATTATTCCCAAACATTTCTTTCCCATGGAAAATCTATATGTTTATCCCAGGATTTAATGGTTTTCAGTGACACTCTCTAGTCTAAAGAAACATTCAAATACATCTTTCTGAGAAATTATATACGATTTCATGTTTATGAATATATTGGGAAATTTTTTGATTTTCAAATTCTGATGCAATTTCCATATTCATTTTCTAGTTTTGTTCGTGTGATGACATCATCAGTCAAAACATTCATGTTGATTTCATGTATGGCTCGAAATCGTTCAGAAATATCTAACCGGTCAGCAGGTATAGGATCTTTTTCTCACATCGGTGTTAAATGGCTGCTTCTTGCATATGAAACCCGCTGGACGGAGTGAAGTCAATACTAGATCGAACCTCGCGTATTGACGCTTCAGAATGACAAAGAGCTGAATCAAATAAAAGAAATCGCATCACTTAAAGACATTCAAAAAGAGCAACAACTAAATGTTTATCATATGTAAGGCTGAGAGAAACTAATGATATAATCAATATCAAGTCTTCCCAATCATTTTCGTCAATGGATGTCAACGTTCTTCTCGTGGCATGAAATTAGTGATGGCGCTCCAGATATCTCTGTCCTCTACCCTACCTTCTTTCTAATTTATATTAAAGATCTGCTTAAAATAAATCCTTATTAAATAAATATGCTGATGATCCAACAATCTGTGTGTGTGTCCATCATTAAATGTTTTGGTGACAAGGAACCTGTAACTGCTTTTTGTTCTGATCAATCCCTTGCAGTTCAATGGAGGGGAAAACTGGGAAATATCATTTAATACAAGATGCTGCAGCAAAATCCGACCATGACAAAAAGAAAACGAAATAGGCAATAAAAACAAAAGTTTTATATGCAGAGACCCGACAGTTTATTTAGCAACATTTAGAGTTACATACTACATTATTTTTTCAATGTAACCACCGCCGCCGGCGACTATCATCTCAAGGCGGGCGCGAAATGAGTCAAACGCTTTGGTGACCATGTACTTCTCCATGGCGGCGAACGCCTCCATGATGTCAGCCTTCAGAGATTCGACGTTGTTGTAGGCGTGCCTGTTGGACTTGGCCTCGATCGCGCCCGACAAGTAGTAGTAGGGGGTTACAGTCGAGAGAGGAGGGAGGCCACAAGTCAGGCGACCAATGTTGAGAAACAATGATGAGCAGCCACGTCTGTGTCGTCTTGGCTTTGTGTGCAGGAGCGAAGACGGGCTGGAAGACGTAGGGGCGTCCGGAAGCGATCTCGTCCATCCAGGGCTCCGCCACGCTCCTCAGCATCTCCTGGTAGATGTCAGCCTTTGCTCTCAAGCCCTTTTGAAAAAAGAACTGAAGCATGACGTCCCCCTTGCTAGAGATGACGCCAAAGACCATGACGTCCTTGCAGATCTACCTGTCGTTTTGCCTGTTGCTCTTCTGGACCTGGATGACATTCTTTTCATCAGAGAACAACCTCGGCATCTCGACGGACCCGTGCCTTAGCTCGTTCACCAAAGCCGCCGCCTTGATCTTCCGCGACTCCTTGGAGGCATTCGTGATGAGCATGCGGTGAGACTTGCGGTAGTAGGAGTAACCTATGTCTTTCTTGATCGTTCAACAGATCGTCAACATTTGACAGCCGATGTCAGCGGAGATCTTGACTTATCTTTGGCTTCCATCATTGTTGACTGTCTCCTTGACGGCGGCGACGAACTCGTCAGTCCTAACGGCCGAAGGAAAAATGTTGAAGGCCTTTCGTTTGGCAGTAAACTCGTTCTTGTTCTCACACGCCTTCACTTACACCAAATTTCCATGACCATGGTCCTCCTGAACCCAAACCAAGCAGTCACTTTTGCAGGCTTCTTCCCGGTTCGAAAAGATGTTGCTACGGCTGCTCTGCGCTCATATTCCATCCTGGAAAAGGGTTGAGAGAAAAACGTTGATTAGTTTATCAAACTGTCGCGTATCTGCATATACAACTTTTGTTTATATTGCCTATTTCGTTTTATTTTTGTCAAGTGTCAGATTTTGCTGCAAAACCCTGTACATTCGAAAGAAAACTAGTAACATTTCTTCACAACTGAACAGAACCTAAACTTGCACCGATCCTTATGAGTGGTCACGTCGTCAAAGAAGGTCCTCACCGCAAAGGTCTCCTACGACTAGACTTGATTTTACCATGCTCTAATTTTTACAAAAGACGGGTCAAACACGGATGGAGTATTGCTTCTATATCTTGGTTTTTTCTACTGAATCTTTACTGCCGTATCTCGAGAGAGTTGAAAGGTGCTTATGGGGTATAATGGGTGATAAATTATTCCGCCATAATGTGACCATTATCGAATAGACAAAAGCTTCTTACTATTGGCAGTTATTCATAGGTGCTACATTCCTTAGTTCCACCAGTTGGTAGCACATCCTTCACAGCTAGGATCGGCCATACCATGTTCCTTGTAGCGAACGTTCGCTATTTCATTTTCCTCCCTTTAATAAAGGAAAAGTTCCAGTCAGGCAGTTCTAAACTATTGCTTTGTGGAACTAACTACTGATGGGATACTTCAGAGATTATTATTTTTTGCTCTGTTTATGTTCAAGGTCTTCTGATATCTATGCTACATGCCCTCATAATATTTTCATACTGAGCCCTTAATTTCAATCCCCCTAACTTGAGTGGCTCTTGGAAATTGTATTTGGTGAACTAACAGCCGCCTGGGTATCTCTTGTGGAGGTATCTTCCCCTTTGAATTCACAGACTTCATCTTTGTTTCATCAGGAATTTTAATCTCAAGGTCAATCACGCCATTTACATGTTTAATCTTTTAGAATGGTATTTCAATAACAGGTAAGTAATCAATGGGCTCACGAAGTTACGAGGTTTACGTATATTACCAACATTTATTTGTACATTCATGTTATATACGATTTCATTTTCATGGAGTCTTGCTTATATTGTTGAAATTACTATTGACATCTCTTACATAGATATTCCGTAGCCTTTATTTATTTGAAGAAATATAGTTTTAAGGTGCTATATTTATGGGATAAAGTGCTCAATATGAGAGATAGAGCGTATATAAATGTAAATTTAAAGTGAACATTGAAGGCAATTGCGTCCAGCATGAAACTGACTTCAATGTTCACTTTTACATATATATATATATATATATATATATATATATATATATATATATATAAAATTAAATGATTTTTCTAACGCTGATAATAAGTACTTGAATCCTCTTGTTATCCTCTAACTTAGCAAGTGTCATATCTTCCATACAAGGGAGTTCTGCTGCCATATACAATCAGGAGCTGCCCACATCTCACTTCCAAGTGTCGGTAGAGTCCAAAAGTGTCCCCGCGTCTTTTGAGTGGTGAAGTATTTTCCACACCGCAGCCCATTTCTTATAGGTTTAATCTGGCAACCTTCTCTCTGCTATATCGCAATTTTCACAGAAGGTCCTGCGTAGGAACTACATTCCTTATTTCAACGACTTATAATATTCACGGTTACAACCCGTTATGCTACGCACATTCTAGTGAACCACTTTTATTTGTATTGTTTTATGAGATATAAATCACCCTCTAGCATCTTCTTCCCACGAACCGCTGCTCTGTAGAATCGACTCGTAACTGAATGTTTTCCCGATCAATAATTAACCTGCTCAAATCTAAAGTTAACCGTTATCTTCCACACGTATTCATATCAACTGTTACTCTTATTCTGTAATCCCCTATCTTGACTGGCTCGCGCGTCTTTTACGGTGTGAATAGGTCGTTAATTAATTATATTATATTTCTGTCGAAACCCTCGATAATTCATCATATAGGATATTCTCATTTTGTCAAACCCTTTCTTTCGTTAGAAATTGTTAAAAAGTTGTCTTTAAAAAATATTTTTGAAAGGTCGCTGTTTCACGACTACGGAAATATCTTAGAATATTCCATATTTTTTATGACAAAAAGATTTTACTTACTGTCAGTAAGCCCAGGGAGACTAGTAATTCAGTTCATTTTATTATCAAAGAACCTATATTTAATTTATTCACGGTTACAACACAGTGGTTATGCTATAAACGACAATTTTCATCTCTAGTGAACCACTTTTATTTGTATTGTCTTTTATAAAGATATAAATAACCATTTTATCAACTGAATATAACTTTAATAAATCACTTCAATTTGTTCTTTTAATTACAGGAAAAATGGTTAAAAATTTGTCTCAAGTGAATTATTCGATGTCAGCTTCATCACCATTAGAATGAACATTCGCCTATTAAAAAAAGATACGTGCACAAGACCCGAAAAATTCTCAGTTTAAGGGAAAAAATCGATGGAAGGGATTCAGGTTATATATTTGCTGGACTAAAAAAAAGCGAAGAAAGGTCCGTCTTCAAAGACAACTACTTTTGCTTTATAAATATGAAAATAATCACATTTGTTCATAATACATTTAGATTAAGTTTAATCTATAATAAATAATACTATTTAATCATATTTGTTTTTTTTTCGTTTTTTTTTAAATTCGATATATGCATTCAAACTACATTTATAAGATAAAAACAACTGTTATTAAGTATCGGATGTTATTAAATAAGTATCGAAGCGATTGAATGAAAGAAGCACTGCGTAAATTTGAAGATGAATAGAGATTATATTTTTTTATTATTTTTCTCCTTGAAACGTTGTTTTATTACAGCCAACTTCATCACTACTATTATTACTACTAATCTATTAGTACGATAATTGCTACTAATCATAATAATGTATAGTAGCATCATCTCCAATTATCTCATTTTTGATGGAAGACTTGTGTCTTGCAAGATACCTAGGGTTACTTGATATTTGGAGTCGCTGTTAGAAGTAATGTTCCGAACCGTTTGTGTTCTAAGGAAAGTTCTGTGACTGTGATCGGCTGGTAGAAGCTGAAATATGACCATCATTAATCTAAAAATCAGTGATCTTCAAATAATCGAGAAATATCCAGAACGAGGCTAATAAATCCGATGTTGACAAAATTAACACTCCACGATGGTTACGGGCATCTGGATTAAAGGCTGAAACGGAAGGCGTTATTCTTGCAAAACACAGCCAGAAACATTTCACTCGAAGCATTCACGCAAATAGCATGCATAATAGTGTGGATTCAAATACAGGTTATCTCACAAAGATCGTGAAACTATACATCTCATCTAATGAGGTTATCTACTTGCGCCAAATGAATATAAAATCGTCACGATAGAGTGGGGCATTATTTGCACTGGACAGTGTACAAACACTTTTAAAAAATATATTAATCAATATTAGTATGAACATCACCCACCGCAGGTTACAGATATAGAAGACATCACAAGTCTATTGGATTACACTATCTTTACAGAGAGGATGGTTGAATATATAGGCCTGACATAATAGTCAAAAACCGAAAAGAAAACAAATGCTTATTAGTTGATATGGCTTGCCCAGTTGACTATAACATAGCAACTAAAGAATTTGAAAAAAAAATATCGAACTTTTTTTTATTTTTTATTTTTTTTAAGCATTTCACCCCAAGCAAGGCGGGAAGCCACTAGGACGCAAGGGGTTACAGAAAATTTAGAGCAAGATCAGATAGGAGTGATAGAAGAAAGGATGAGGGTAGTGGATTGATCAAGGCAATTGGAGATGTCGATTGACATTACACTTGAATAGTTGGAGATTATAGCTCACAGGGAAACAGGAATAGGGAAGGGAGTTCCACAGGCGAGAGGTGCGAGACATGAAGCTATTAGAGTAGAAGAGACGGCTACATTTAGGAGTTTCGACAGTGAAGGGGTGAGAGCGGGATGCCAGCCTCGTAATGCACTGGGAACCAGCGAATGGAGCTCCTCAGAGCAATTTCCATGAAAGTATTTGTAGAATAGACAGAGGGAGGCGACGGCGCGTCTGTGAGAAAGTGACTGTAGACGAGACGCCAGGGCAGGGCCAACCACATTGCATATCCGCCTCTGGAGCCTATCAAGAACCCCGAGGCAAACAGAAGGGGAACCAGACCATATATGACAGCAATACTCCATGCAAGGGAAAGACATGGAAATTTAAATAGAAAATGTGGAAATTGAAAGCAAGAATAGTAGCAGTCATAATCTGTGCGCATGGGATGAGAAAAAAATGAACACAACGACACTTTGAAAAAAAAAATCTTTGAATAAAAAATCTTTGAATATTCAGATTAAGAGAAATACAAAAATATCTTGATAAGTTCAGCCCAGACACCGTGTCTATGTAACGCTAGTGATGTTAAAAGAGTAAGAAAAACAAATCATGAAATGAAGCCATATCAACACGCAACTACCTATGTTAGTTCTTCCCGCAGTCTTGGTACATAGTGTGACCATATTAGAAATCAAAATAATAATAATAAAATAATCTTTGAAGATCTTAAAAATAACTCTCAAAATACAAGGATCTTGAAGTAGAAATCTCCAAACTGTGACACATGATGACATAAATCATTCCAGTTGTAGTTGGAGCCATTTGATTGATTTAAAAATGTTCCAACACATTCATTGAAGGTTTACTTAGTA